ATCACACGCCTCTCCCCCCCCCCCCCCCCCCCCCCACCCTTTGCAGCTATAACAGCCTTCACTCCTCTAGGAAGGTTTTCCACAAGAATGTGCAGTGCGTCATTTGTGTCGATACAGTCAAAAAAACCTTTGTGAGGTCAAATACTAGTGTTGGATGAGAAGACCTGGCTCACAATTTTATACCAAAGGTGCCCAATAAAGTTAGGTCATGGCTCTGCGTGGGCCACTTCACATCCAAAATGATCAAACTATATATCTATATATATGTACCTGGATTTTTACTGGAGCATATACATGCTGGAACAGAAAAGGGGCTTACCGAAACTATGGCACAAGGTTCAAAGTGCACAATTATCGAAAATCTTTTTATATGCTGCTGCATTAACACTTCTGTTCACTGGAAGCCCTGAACTCAATAATTTTGAGGGGTGTCCACACACCTATTGCCATATACTGTAACATCAGATTTTGGCTATTTGGTATTGTTAATGTAAGCAGTGGCACCTGCAACAAATACAAATAAGGTACAACAGCTGACAGCTGGTTTCTAACCAAAGTCTTTATTTGATGTGGAGGGATTTAATGTTGAAGCAGTGGAACCTGCACCAAAAGTTACAAATGAGATACTACAACTAAAAGCAGAGTGAAATCAAGGCATCTGAAGTGTAGGGGTTGGATGGAATATGATTATTTGTAATAGTTAGCTGGTTTCTAAGGCCATTTCCAAGTAGCAGAGGATACATTTCCAAATAGCGTGGATACATTTCCTGATTAAAGCCCAAATCTATCTAGATCAGTGGTGTCAAACTCCATTTCATTGCGGGCCGCATCAGCATTATGGTTGCCCTCAAAGGGCCGGTTGCATCTGTAAGACTATATAAATGTATCTACTCTTTATCATATTTAACAATTGCCTCAGCATTCAATTATTAATGATTTTAGTAATCACTTAATAACTAGCTCTGAACGCTAAAAGTCTAGGAAAAATAATGGCAAATAGTGTAATAAAACGGGCTCTCATGTGGCTGTTCAGGTTCTATGGTGGGGTGAGCGGACTCTGAGGTGGCTGTGCAGGTTCTATGGTGGGCTGTGCAGACTCTCAGGTTGCTGTGCAGGTTCTATGGTGGGCTGTACGGGCTCTCAGGTGGCTGTGCAGGTTTTATGGTGTGATGTGTGGACTCTCAGATAGCTGTGCAGACTCTCAGGTGGCTGTGCAGGTTCTATGGTGGGCTGTGCGGGGTCTACGTTGGGATGTGCAGACTCTCAGGTGGGCTGTGTATGGTCTATGCTGTGGGAACTCTCAGGTGGCTGTGCGGGGTCTTAAAAGGCCTGCGTGGCATCACCAGGGGACCTGGTTGGTCTCAGTGGGTGAGGACAGCGTGGATCCACAGGAAGGAAGAGATTGGCTGCCGATGCTGTAAACAGGTGCCGCAATTCACAGGTAGGCTGCCGGGACCTTGCTGGGGACCTCTTTACAGCGCCGGCTTCAGTTTATCAATTGAAAGTGCCAGTATTGGTGCTTAGTATCGGGACACTTTCACAAGTAATCGTGAAAATGCCCAGTATCGAAACAGATACCGGTATCAGTGCATCCCTAAACAGTGTATCAGAAGTGTTCTGTCCTCCTTTCTGCTGCCGACTGCTGAGACAAGGTGGGGGTGGAGGTCGAGGGGGTGCTGCTACAGGAGCTGTACGAGGGCCAAATAAAATGGCCTGATGGGACAGAATCGACCCACGGGCCTTGTGTTTGACACATGTGATCTAGATCATCATTAAACCTTTTCAGAAACTAAAGTAGTACACGAGAAAACTTGTTCCTGGAGTTCTGTGGGGAAACAGAGAAACATGGGTAGAACATACATGGGTTCTACATGGGTAGAATATACAAAACATGTGGATATTGCCCTGCAAGAGAGGACGGAAGGAAGGAAGGAAGGACGGACAAGAAAAAAAATTAAGCAGACATAGTTTAAAGTGAATCTCAAAGCCCTTTTTGTAGTTTTTGTAGAGTGAAGAGCTAGAACCTCTATCGGATATATGTTTTACTTTATGTTGACAAACAATTAAAACCTCCCAGAACAAAATTGAACGTGTACAACTTTTTCAAAGATAAACAATACAATAACATGAACATTAAGTTCACAGAAAAATGTATTTAAAAATTAAAGCTACTAAAAATAATAAAGAACAAAGAATCAGCTCAGGATCAAGTCAATTACTAGTGCACCTAAGAAAAAAAACTGAAAAAGCCAGTCTTTCAAACTGAGTAAATTACTGGCTGTTGGAAAATTACTTTCTTGTTACAAAATCATTCTACTTGTGGTTTGCATCGACCGGCAATCTTTTCTATCAGCTTACCTGGAACTCTGAAATGAGTAATTGATTTTTCACTGAGATGTGATAATGTACAAACTAAGATGTTGATAAAATGTTTACTTTGTTTTCCACTGTAATTACTTTTTTGTTCTTTTTTTATCATTATATCTTGTGCACTATTGTAAAGATTAGTGGTGATATAACTCACAACTACAGAAAAGCAAATTGGTTCACACAGATCAAAACCTGCAGCAGATTGGACCAGTTGTCTTCTGGGGCATTTGGTCTGTAATTCCTTATTAGGCCAACAATGTCATGTTGGGGGAATTCTTGCTCTATAACTCCCTGTGACATTAGAAGTGGGATGTCCAATGGATCCTGCAAGGTGACTAGTCTCCCAGGAGCTCGGGCTTCCTATATGGGAGTATAAGGGGGCTGATGGATTGATGAACTGATATATAGTCCTTTAGACCACTTTTTACACGTTTACTAATATGCCAAGTAAATCAAATAACTCCACTCACTTGGCAATTCTTGTACAATCTGCCACACAAAAACCGGTGTCCATAAAAATCCAACTTTATTGTAGTAACATTCCAGATAAAATCCAAAATCAAACGTGTTATAGCAAATACATCACCATGGGGGGACGTGGCTAACTGGCTATGTGAGAGGACGCATCCCAGGAGAGCTCCGTGTTGCACCCGCCATTCGCCCTACTGAATTAGCACCCACTTGCCTGCTATGGGGAAGGATAGACCCCCTAGGTCGACCCACAAGTCCTCTGGCCAAAAGGGGAAGAAAAAGAAATCCTCGGCCTCAATCCAGGGGTTTTTTGGCCGGCCGGCCGCTCTGAGTGCTGGATCCAAGATGGCGCCTCGTGACAGCGCGCGGGCCGCGGCCTTCCCAGAGTCGTCCCCTGAAGGGGACACGGAGGTCCGGCTGCAAGATTACTCCCTGCCGGAGTCACCTAACATGTCTCTGGGGACACAGGGGAGCCTGGAGCTGCCCGCGGTTCCCTCCATCCACAAACCGGCGGACTCTGTGAGTACCTGGGGGGATCGGGCCCAGTCCGAGATGCAGCCTAGCCATGAGGCCTTAGAGAGGGACTCTGTGTCCCCGACGGATCCGTCCCAGATGCCCAGACCGGGATCTCATAGGGGTGATGGGCCCTGGGAATCTTCCCCTGCATCTCCCCGCATGCACCATGTGGAGTCCTCGCCTCCTACATTAGGGCAGACCCCTGACTTACAGGGCTCCCCCGGGACCTCCAAAGAGGGTCACAGTGGGCCCCTATTACAGTGCCCTGGCGCACCACCATACCCACCCTCAGAGGATCGAGAACTGGGGGGGACCCCTGCGCTCTCTGGAACCAGCTGGCCGGTCAGGTCCGGGTCTCGTCATGCTGAGCTGCGAGAGGGGTTTGGATGCCCATGTGAGCCACCCGATGCGCCCAGAGGGTTCAGAGTCCTCCTCAGGGCTAGAGGATGCGGATTTTGTCTCCTGCCTGAGGGACTGCCTCAAGCACATCCCCACCAAGAAAGATTTCAGGCTCCTGGATTCAGGAGGTGAGAGAGACCTGTCGGTCTGAAATCCAGCTCATTCACACTGACTTTCAACAATTGACCCAACGGGTCGAGGGCCTGGATGAGGAGGTTCAGGTCTGCAAAAATGATGTATTTCAATTGCAATCCCAATATGTGTCCCAAGCCACCACTATTCGGGACCTTCAAAGCCATGTGGAGGATTTGGACAACAGGGGCCGCCGCAATAACCTACGCATCAGAGGCCTTCCTGAAGCCACAGGCCCTGAGGATCTACAGGAAGTCCTACAGACCATCTTCACTAACATCCTGGGGTGGCCTTCTTCCCGCAAGATTGAGATGGACCGGGCCCACTGGGCCCTTCACCCGTGGGGCTCCTCCTCACAGCCCCGAGATGTCATCTGCAGGATCCACTATTTTACAGTCAAAGAGGAAGTGCTCCAGAAGGCTCGTAATATGAAGTCGATTGAATTCGACGGCGCACCCATCCAAGTTTTCCCGGACCTGTCCTGGGTCA